GGCCTGAAAATATGTATGCCAAATTTGATCGAAATCGGTTCAGATATAGATATAGCTCCCATATATATTGTTCATCCGATTTGCTATTTTTGTCCACTGCCGCCGTAATATGCACTCTGTAACAACAATATTTCGGGAAATATATCAAATGCAGCTCAGAAATAACTTTGCTAAATTTTTTCCAGATCGGTTCAGATTTGGATATAGCTCCCATATATAACTTCGTCCGATTTACCTTTTATTGTGCACCAAACCTATTTTTTTTTATTTTGAAAAGATCATTTTTGCGGCACCTGATCTACATCTCCCTTTGCGGAACCAGTAGACCCAGCCTTTGAGCACTAGTTGTCAAAATCTTTAAGTTCATTTTAACGGCACCTAGTCTTCAATTCCCTCTGCGGAAACAATAGACACCAGCCTTTCAACAGTAGTCTTTGCTTAACACATTATTTTCACTCTTATTTGTTTATATTTGTTATATCTATATATATAAAAATCAATTGTTGTTTGTTGGTAACGGAATCAGTTGAAAACGGCTGGACCGATTTGCATAATTTTTTGTACAAACGTTCGTCATACCCCGAGTTAGGTTTTTAAAGAAAAAAATATTAACCATGCCTCCTTTTACGCCCACTATTACGATTTATGTAAAATCTTTATATTTGCCAAAATAGTGAAGATATCGGTTTGATAATTATTACACGAGATGCTGTTGGCTTTCCATCCAACCCTAAGTACTTATTTAGGGGCTGAGGAACTCGCCTACTTTTAAATCTATCTCTCTATATGTAAAAGAAAGTTGTGTTAGTTACTACTCTTATAACATAAAGACCGCCAGTCTGATTTTAACGATTTAGACAAATTCGGAATTGCCTCTTGGCAGAAAAGAATAAAATCCAAAAAAATCGCGTAAAAATGTGAAATTTGAACATTTTTATTTTGACTTTTAAAATGTACAATAGTAATGTTTTATATTGCATATTTTTTTTCCATTTTGACTTACTATTTTCGAATGTACATTTGTAGTGTTTTTATACCCTACACCACAAGGTGGTCAGGGTATTATGTCTTTGTGCATTTGTTTGTAACAGGCAGAAGGAAACGAGATAGACCCATAGTTCCTTTTGATGATCTGCATAGAATCACTTTCTGAGTTGATTTATGCATGTCAGTCCGTCTGTCCGTCCGTCTGTCCATGTATTCTTGTGAACAAAATGCAGGTCGCATTTATTATCCGGTTGAGATGAAATTTTGCATAGATCATTTCTTTGGCCCAAGGACGAACCCTATTGAAATTGGAGATAATCGGTAAAAATTTAGATATAGCTCCCATATATATCTTCGTCCGATTTGCCTTTTATTGTGCACCAAACGTGTAATATCGAATAGTATGGAATTTTGCACATACACCTAAATTAGGCCTGAAAATATGTATGCCAAATTTGATCGAAATCGGTTCAGATATAGATATAGCTCCCATATATATTGTTCATCCGATTTGCTATTTTTGTCCACTGCCGCCGTAATATGCACTCTGTAACAACAATATTTCGGGAAATATATCAAATGCAGCTCAGAAATAACTTTGCTAAATTTTTTCCAGATCGGTTCAGATTTGGATATAGCTCCCATATATAACTTCGTCCGATTTACCTTTTATTGTGCACCAAACGTCTAATATTTGTCCAAATGGGATTGAATTTGGCACATACGACCGAATTCAGCCTAGAAGGTAGTATGCCAAATTTGGTGATGATCGGTTCAGATATAGCTATAGCTCCCATATATATTGTTCATCCGATTTGTTGTATTTGTTACCTACAGCCGTAATATGCACTCCGTAACAACGATATTCAGGGAAATATATCAAATACAGCTCAGAAATATCTTTGCCAAATTTGATCGAGATCGGTTCAGATTTAGATATAGTTCCCATATATATCTTTATCTCATTTCAAATTAATTTTGCACCAAATGGGCAATATAAGTCCGAATTTAAAAGATAAAATGCTTCGGCATATTTAGTCCTTTGAATTTTAAATTATAATTATAATCATAGCGTGTATGATTGAATTCTCCCATAAAAAACTTTTAATTATTAAGTCGAGCTCATCTAAATTAGCAAAGTGGTGTAGGGTATCATAAAATCGGCCCCGCCCGACTTTAGGACTTTCTTTACTGTTTTTTTTTTAATTCTAATATGATGTGTAGGTTTTTTTGGGTAGTATAAAGCCATATCGGATAAAACTGTTATTTATAGTTTTTATGTATTTATTCGTAATACCCAATAAATAAATACATACATACGTTATGGGGTTAATTTAAAAAAGTGGACCTGCCCCTTTCATATGACAATAAATTGTCAAATGAGAACACAAAATGCAAAATCAGTCAAATACCGACTATAAAGAGTAGTAGTCTTAGTCTTGAGGCTACCTGGGGTAAAAAACCCTGGGGTAGAAAATCATCTTACAGATAATTATCCTCATAGGAATTTATTTAAGTATAGTCCCCACATTAGTATACCCCCAAGTCCACTTTCCCAACCAATGTGTGGTCAGAAAAGAAAATTTTGTAATCTATTGAATTCGTAACCCCCAAGAGAATATTGGTTGGGAACGTAGATTTGGGATGTACGTCTATATAACGTAAATTGTGGCAGAAACATGAAAAAAATACGAAATTATAAAGTAACTTTATTGGATCTCCACCGCACAATTTAAATGATAAATAATTAATGCCCATCTTACGGTAATCGGAGCAAAAGAGTAATTTTTTTGGCTATTCTGACAACATTCTGCGTTCAAGTATGAGGTGGACAAAACTGAATACCACGCAGTACGGGATTTTAAACGTTGGAAATACAAATTTCAAATTATAGCTGATTTGAATGCTTTTTACAATATCAAAAATTGATCTGAATTTTGACATGGGGCTATTATAGATGTTCTTTATCATATATGTATTTAACACTCAAATTAAAGCCTATATCTGAAAAATAAGATCAAGCTATTCAAAATATCTAAAACCGACGGTAATTATAATTTTTGCCATGAATATTAATTTATATTTAGTCATGGAGTCATTACTCATAATCAAGTCATTACTTATGATCAAAATTGGAGTAATTATAATGGAGTCATTACTTATAATCAAAATTGTGCCGCCTACATAAGTCAGATCTGTGATTTATTATGCTTTAAAGACTAAAAGTACAGGCCGGCAACGCGGACCGGGCCAGCTAGTTTGTTATAAATGTTATATGTTTTGCTCTAATTCCTTTCTCTATAGTGTATTTTTAGCTATTACTTTGCCGGCTGATGTACTAGACTGTAGCTGGCACCACTAACTCACAACTAACCCACCATTCCCGGTCTTTGGTGTGTACGCGCTCCCTACGTATGGGGAGGTCGCCCCCTCGGTCGGCAGGGGTGGGAGTGAGAGGCGTGGGAACGAAAAAAAAAAATCGATTCTGAGTTGGATATAGTTCCCTAATTGTGACTACTCAACTAAGGTTCATCTACTACTTCACATAAACCCAATATTAGTTTTTTTTGTTACAAGAGTTCTACTAGATACGTATAGTGGTGTAGGGTATCATATAGTCGGCCATGCCCGGCTTTTGACTTTTCCTTACTGGATTACATAAACGTTTCGGTCTACTACAGCTGCTAAATATTGTCGATTAATCCCAAACTCTAGCCCCATGCTAAATTCCGGGTTGATTGGTCTAAATTTCGTGAGGATGGGACCATAATTGCGTTCTGATAACATCCTATGTGCAATCAAACCTAAATTAGATAGTGTTATAGGGTAAACAATTACAACAACACTCTTTTATGTAAAAAATATCAAAACAAATGCAACAAGTTGTTTGGTTTGGTTTGGTTCATTTGAAATTGTAAAATTCTTTAAAGATTTATTTCTTAAAAATTGATTAGTAATTCATGAGGTCCATACATAAGTTGTTACAACTGAACTATTATTTTTCTTACAACTGAATTTGAGTATTTTGTAAGCAGTTTTCTTTTATTCTTTAAAATTACACCTATACTTTGCCGTGTTAAGCTATATAAAAAAGCTGAATACCCTCCACCATTTGGAACGAATTTGGCATTTCTCAAAAATGATAAAATCCGTTAAAATCTTAGAAATACCGAATGTAGCCGTTATATTAGGATCAATACGACGACATGGACCTGCATAGGTAATTTTTTTCATAAGCCATTACAATATTCAAATGCGAAACTTAAAAAAATCGGTGAATAATGTATCTTCAGTCATCAAAATAAGGATTATCGGGAGGTACCGGCTATACGGAGACCTGAACCTGCACAAACAATTTTCTATCTTAGGATTTAGTATTCATTGCGAACTTTAAATACCAAATTTGACACAATTCCGGCTAATAATGTCGCTAAAATCATCAAAATACCGAATATCGGGAGGTACCTTTATATGGGGGCCATACTGAGACGAGGACCTGCACAGACAGTTTTCCGTCTTAGGCTGTAGTATCCATTACGAATTTCAAATAGCAAATTCAAAACAATTCCGGTGAATAATGTCGCTAAAGTCACCAAAATACCGAATATCGGGAGGTACCATTATATGGTGGACCAAAATATACATGTTTTTAGCCTTCTATCTCAATTCGTTCGAAAGATAGCGTGATTACAACAGACAGACGGACAGACAGACACATAGACAGACAGACGGACATGGCTAAATCGTCTTAGAATTTTACGCTGATCAAGAATATATATTCTTTGTTGCGTCTGACATGAGTATTTCGAGGAGTTACAAACGGAATGACAAAATTAATATACCCTCCATAGTATGGTGGAGGGTATAAAAAATGATAATTGATTATTGGCTGGGCCCTACCTTCATTTCACTGTACCATGCTTCTTCATAGCAAACGTGATGCCAAAGCGTTTTGACAAAAAAATGCCTGTTCACATTTTTACTAATTTCTTATCATATCAATCGTATCGTAGAAAATTACGCAGAGGTTCAAACGTAACTATTCTATACCGTCATGGAAGGATATTGCAGAGCGCACGTTCCAGTTGATGCAGCAACGAATACATCTGAAATTTCATTACTCTCCAGGTGCTTTGACAGCGTCAACATGTGAAATAAGCAAGCCACCTAAACCAGATTATGGCCAAGAAATCATCTATGACAAGGCATTGACAAGGACATTTAAGGCATTCATAATCAAATAATAACCATTTTTCAATGCAACTAAAACTTCTATATTTTAGGCAAATAATGAAGTGCCAGAACCCTTACAACTGGAAATGTATCGCCTTATTATGGATCAGCTGCAAAGTGAAGACATGGCCAAAAAGAGTTTTAAGAAGCTATCGGATGAAATAATCGCAATTTTGGATAACCGTCGTAATGAAATGGAACATCCAATACTACAATTTCGACTATTTGATTCAATGCGAAACGGTGCTGCTAGATCCAAATGTTTGAAAGAGGTACAAATGTCAGGCTTATCTGCGATCTGTACAATTATTTTTTAATTTCTCTAGGTTTTGGAGGAAGGAAACGAACAGGATCATTCTCAGCATAAAAATGACATCTGTTGAATAAAATCAAATTGGGAAAACATTGGCTGGTATTATGTGGCACTTCATAGTGTATTTCACACAGTTTATTTTTGCAATATATATTATATCTAATAAATTTATTGTAATAAATAAATATATTTCGTTTACCCATTGCACCTCCGTCACCTGGAGGTGGTTACGCTACTATGTGTTCCACCCGGACCGAAAACATACTGCAGAAAGCACTACACATGTCCGCTTTCCCGCCATTTTTAATAGAGCACAATAGAAGTTTGACAAATATTGTTAATTCTTTTTGCAATATTAAAAAAAAAAAAAAACAAGTAAAAAAGCTGTAAGTTCGGCCGGGACGAACTTTTAACACCCTCCACCATTTGGTACAAATTTGGCAATTTCCAAAAAATAAAATCCGTTAAAAATTCTGTTAAAATCTTAAGAATACCGAATTCTTCTACGACGACGTGGGCCTGCATATGCAACTGTCGTCATAAGTTATTACAATATTTAAATGCGAAACTTGAAGAAAAATCAGTTTATAATGTAGCTAAAATCATTAAAATACCGAATATGGGGGGTACTGTTATATGGGGGCTATACGAAGAAGTGGACCTGCGCAGACAATTTTCTGGCATGGGCTGAAGTATACACTACGAACTTCACATGTCAAATTTGAAACAATCCCGGTAAATAATGTCGCTAAAATCATCAAAATACCGAATATCGGGGGGTACCGTTATATGGGGGCTACACGAAGACGTGGACCTGCACAGATAATTTTCTGTCTTAGGCTGTAGTATTCATTACGAACTTCAAATGCCAAATTTGAAACAATTCCGGTGAATAATGTCGCTAAAATCATCAAAATACTGAATATCGGGAGGTACAGTTATATGGGGGCTATATGATAACTTGGACCTACGTGGCCCATTTACGAACTTAACCTGCCTACTGGTAAACTATACATGTGTGCAAAATTTTAGCCTTCTCTCTTAATTTGTTCGAAAGATAGCGTGATTACAACAGACCGACGGACAGACGGACAGACAGACAGACACACAGACATACGGACATGGCTAAATCATCTTAGAATTTTACGCTGATCAAGAATATATATACTTTGTTGGGGCTGACATGAGTATTTCGAGGAGTTACAAACGGAATGATAAAATTATGGTGGAGGGTATAAAAATAGTAAAAATCATTTTATTCTTGTATATTCTGTCCTTTTATTCGCACATGAGACCAATAATCGATTAAAATGTTATGTAAACAAAATACCTTCTGTCTTAGCAGTAGGTTGATAGGAATGGATCATTTCTTAAAAAATACATAGCAAAATAACTTATTTTTCCTTAACAACTAATGATCAATGTGGGCACGGTGTGTGCGAATCCGACTACAAAACCAGAGGTTTGCGAGTTAGCGACTTAAGGTCAGCAAAAAGAAAAACTGAAAGCAAGGGTCAAAAGAGGGGCGGGGCTGACTTTACGATACCCAACACCACCACAAATAAACGTAATTTAGCATTAATTTGGTGTTAAGGCTTTAGAGCTGCTTACATTTGAAATCGGTTAAAACTAACCTACAAATGCTATATCTTAGTCGATTTCCACTAAACTTGACAGAGGTAAATTCATGTTGTATGTGACCTCTCGAACCAAATATCGTTGATATGGAGTGCAATGTTACATCAAATTAGGGGTAAAAATATATGGGAGATATATACAAATCTGAACCGATCTCGACCAAACTTGGAAAAGGTTTAAATTCCACTTGGAACTGGAAATATAGCATCAGACTCGGAGGTACCTCCCAAAAATTTAGATTTCATATGCACATATCAATTGATCGATTGCAGATACAGTGTCCAAATTTGGAATGCGTAACGGAATTTGAAACAAAAACAAATTTTCCAAATTATATTGAAATGGGTTTAGATTTGAATATAGCTCCCATATATATTTTCGGCCACATTCCCATATTTGATGCACCAAACACGATATGTATATTCGATTCCAATTAAATTTAAAATGTATTACGGATTTTGAGACGAACATACATTTTCCAAATTATATTGAAATCGGTTCAGATTTGGATAGAGCTTCCATATATATTTTCGGTCGATTTCGTTTAGTTGTTATCCAAACCCGATATGTTTCTTCGATTCCAAGTAATTTGAAATGAGTGACGAATTTAAAGCAAACATACATTTGCCAAATTATATTGAAATCGGTACAGATTTGGATATAGCTCCCATATATATTTATGACCGATTTCGTTCATTTGGTGCACCAAATACGATATGTATGTTCGATTCCAATGAAATTTGGAATGTGTGACCGGATTTAATCAGAAAATAAATTTGTCAAATTATATTGAAATCGGTTTAGATTTTTCGGCCGATTTCACATATGTGAAGCACCAAGCACGATACGATATTTGTCAAATTAATTAGAAATTGGTTAAGATTTGGACATAGTTCCCATATATATTCTCTGCCGATTTCTCATATTTGATGCAGCAAACACGAAATATGGAAGGTGTGACGGAATTTGGTGTAAAAGTACATTTTGTCAAATTATATTGCAATCGGTTCAGATGGGGACATGATTTTATTAAGAAGCATTGACCCACAACGCATTTGCAATGGTATTAAGCTAACAGTAAAAAAAAAACACCACAATTTAATTAAGGATACGATTATTACGGGGAAGTATGTTGCATTTGGCACTCAACTTGGCAACTTTGGTACACTTTAAAAAATTACAATAATTAGTGTTTTTTTTAATTTCTGAATTTGTCTTGTAGCGAGGCGCACCGGGTTTAGCTGGTGGATTTGGGTTGCTTAGATATAAGTATATATATATCGTCATCGTGTCATCGTTGGAAAAGACTCCATAGGGGGATATTGCATACAAAAATTATTAAGAAACAAATCTATGGAATGAACGAAGTGAGAAAACAAATGCATTCAAGGCTAATGAATAAAATGTCCTTGATAACACGGTACCTCCCGACATTCGGTATTTTGATGGTTTTTGCAACATTTTTCAAAGGAATTGTTCCAAAGCTAACACGAAGAATTTGTAACGGATTCTACCTTTTGTGGCAGAACATTGACCGGCTTACTATAATCTCGAAGTACCATTGGTAGTTTGATAATCGGCATTTGTACTTCGTAATTGGTTCTAGCTCCGGTGGCAGAACATTGTAAATATAGGTCCACGTTTTCCTATAGCGAATATTCAGTATTTCGACGATTTAAACCATAGTTTCTAGCGGATTTTTGTAAAATTTAGTATTTGGAGTTCACAATGAGTTCAACAACACATTTGCTCACGAAATTGTTTCAAATTTGGTATTTAAGACTTGCAATGGATAATAATCCATGTCTATAAAGGTTCTTGTTCTGCCACAAGAGGTAGAATCCGTTACAAATTCTTCGTATCAACTTTGGAACAATTCCATTGAAAAATGTTGCTGAAATCATTTAAATACCGAATATCGGGAGGTACCGTTTAATCAAGGACATGTTATACTTTGGCCTTGAATACTTTTGTTATTCCACTTCGTTCATTTCATAGATTTGTATCTTACTAGTGTTTATATCCCCCCATGTTCTGGCGAAACCATGGAGTCTTTTCTCACGTTGATGTAGTGCTGTAGGGTATGACATGGTCAGCTCCGCCCTACTTTAGCACTTTTACTTCTTTTTAAACAAATTCAATTTTACTTAGATGACATTAAACGCTCTTCTCTATGTAGGTTTCTTACTCTTTGTGAACCGTTCTACATTAACAATTGTTATAACTGGATACTGATCAGAAGTTGAATATTCGATTCGAGTTGATTATTCGTTTTAGTGTTTGAAAAATCTTCGTCTTTCCCGATTAACGATAACAATATTTCTACTGTGAAATGTTGTTATCAATAGTAATTAGCGCTTCAATTGAAATTGTTTTGACAAACAAAGAATCTCGAATGCTTTGCAGCCGATACTGTCATTCGATAGACGTCCGATCTTCTTTGCACAGTGTTTGAAAATATGTCGAGCGCAGAAGAATTGTGGATTATAGCAACATATTGAAGAACAACTCTGGTACTAAATTCCTGTTAACTTTATGAGAGGTATTATTCATAGCCCGTGATAGATTTTTAATCAGGAATATTTTTGAATCTGCACGAATCTACTATTTTTCCAATCTAGTAAAATTGGGAATCATAATAAAGAGAAAACAATCAAAATAGGGGAAATGATGCACTTTTAAAATGCTTGCTCTAGTCAACTATTCAAAGTAGCTGAACTCAGTATATAATAAATGAAATATATAAGGATCGTACAACCACACTGTGGTACAGGGTATTATATCTATGTGCATTTGTTTGTAACATCCAAAACGAAACGATATAGACCCATAGTTATTTTTGATGATCTTCATAGAATAACATTGTGAATCGATTTATGCATCTTTGTCGTATTTATTGTTGTAGTGTGATGAAATTTTGCACACATAATTTGTTTGGCCCAAGGGCGAATGCTATTGAAATCGGTGATAATAGATAAAGATTTAGATGCAGCTTCCATACACGTATTCGCCCGATTTCGGGTTTAATGTGCACCAAATGGGTAATGTATGCTAAAATTTGGACAATTTTAGGAAATACTATCGAATTTAACCTATAAATATGCATATTAATTTTCGTGGAAATCGGTTTAGATATAGTTATAGCTTCTATATACATCTTTCATCCGATGTGATATTTAAGTCCCCTAAAGACGTAATTTTCACTTCATAACAATAATATTCAGAACACGGTATCAGATACTAGATTTATACGGTATCAGCATAGAAACACGCTAACCGAATTTTAAGCAGATCGGTTCAGATTTGGATTTATATGTGCAACATTGCCCAAATAAGATGAAATTCGGCAAATGCGACCGATTTCAACCTGGAAATAAATTTATGAATGTTATAGCTATAGCTTCCATATATAGAACCATGTTTGCTCGGGTAGTATTTTGTTATTGTTGCAAAATAATTAGGCTTAATCCCATGATGGTAACGTTTACCGGGGGATAAGGCAGGCAGCAAGGGAACTGATGAGGATTAG